TTACTATGTAATATCTGCATAATGAATAATAAAGGAACTGAGGAAAAGACCTCACTTAAAAAAAAAAAAAAAAAAATTGTTTTATTTTAAATTATTTTATTTTAAATTATTTGTATTATTTATTTCCTGGGGAGTAGAAATTATAACAGAGGTTACCCAATGATCATAGCACATGGATGACCATCCACGTACGTACTATGATCATCGGTAACCTCTGTTATAATTTTCCCACCCCGAAAAACATGAACTTAGATACTGATCACGTTATTTAATGTTACATCAAATCCTGGGTTCTTATTGGTCAATCATGGGCAAATCGATATAAATCGATATTGTTGACCAAATCGATAGATTTTTGCCAAAACAAATCGTGTCCCTGACACTCGTACGCGTAGTACGACGGAGTCAGGTAGCCAATCAGAACGTATGTTTATCTCCTACATTTATCTTTTTTGTTTATCTCATATGGTTTATCACCACTTAGTTCCTTAATATATTATAGATAGATAGATAGATAGATAGATAAATAGATTCTATGTGTATAAATTATTAATCGTGCGATTCACCCCGTAACAGTATACGTTATCTGTTGATGGCCTTAATCTGTCCCGATTTTAGAGGTATTTATCTGGATGATGAAGGGTGTTTATATCCAGTCATTGATGTGTAATATAAAAATCAGGTCAAATTTTCAAAAATTTCTTCAATAAAATGCAAAAATACCGTTTCTAATAGATCATCGGTACTGTTCCTGATAGGGTAGGAAAAAGAAATCGATTTACGCGCCGTTCCTGATTAGGGTTCTAAAAAAGAGCCTCTAAAATACCACAATTATAGCGAAGTATATGAAAAAAAAAAATTAGGATCAGGGTTCATTTTTAGAACCCTAATAGGAACAGTAGTCAAATAAATTTTTTTTTTTTTTAACCCTAACAGGAACAGTAGTCAAATAAAATTTTTTTTAAACCCTATCAAAGATCAGTACGGCTGATCCATTAGGAATAGTATGTCAACAACCATAAAATGGACCTTGATAATTTGGACTTCGAACATATCTATACATTTGAAGAATTTAAATTGATAAATAAACAAGTAAAGACATATACTTTAAAAATCAGTAGATCTACTTGAGCTCAACAAAGGGAAACTCCAACAATGTCACAAAATCCAATAAATGAGGAGTTATTGCTGGAGAGATCTTTTGTCAACTTTGAAATATACTTACCAAAATGGAATTGTCACTACATCTCAGAAATTCTCAATTACAAAGAAAAAATACCAATGAGATTTCAACATTTCCGGTCAGTGAACAATTTGCGCACCTTATTGCATTTATTCTAAAGAGCATTTATCATTAACCAGATCGTCTACAGAAGATGATCCTTCAAAGGTTAACAAATTTATATTTACCTTTGCTGTGAAGGTCGTAGTCATTCAAGAAGAAATTCAAGGAAGTTTATTTTGCAATGGGCTCATCAGTTGAGCTCGGTTGGTTGTAAATCCAAAAAATGAACATTACAAACGAAAGAAAATAATGTGATCGAATACTTCGCATGGTTAGAATATTGCGAACGGTCGTAATGTTCTCCTGGAATTCACATTTGAAGTACAGAAAATTGATGATTTCAAAAGTAAGTTTTATTACTCTCTATTATCCATTATTTTATAAATTTATACTGTATATTTCATGATTAGAAATCATCCGAATCATCAGACAAGAATTGCAAATTAATTGCCCTGAATGCGAAATAACTTCTCTGATTGTTGTACTTTTATGAAACACTATAAAGATATCAGAAAATGAATAAATGATATACTGTACGTACGTATATTCACATGTTATATAATTGCAGTATATATTTGCGATGTGAATTTTTTTTTTTATATATACAATTTTTCTCACTTAATGAATAAATGATAACCCTTATTTAGATATAAATAACAACAAACCAACCGTGTTATTCCTTATTGGAATGACCAAGTCGCAGATTGTCAAGAAAATTATGGTTGCCAAGCGTGAATGATTTACTTTCATTAATCCATTCAAATAAATGATTATATGCTATTTCAGCAACATCTTTTATTTTCATTAAATAAAGCAAAGATTACAACATATGAAACCAGAAAACACATAGTAAGTTATGGACTGTATAAATATTATTTTATTCTGATTGTATTACTTATTTATGAAAATTTACTGATCATGTTTCCACCGTTATGTTTTATTTGGAAATTTAAGAGCGGTGTAAATCCAATGGATAAGTGATGTGAAGTATCGAATTTTTTGAATTTATTATTGTCTACATGGTAAATAAAGAATAATTTAAAAAAAAATAGTGAAGACAGATTAGTAATGAAGAATGGATGATTTTAAAATAAATATCTTTTCTCATAATTACTGTATTCAAATTTATTTAATTCGTGATCCGCCTAAGAACCAGTGACAAAACATAGTAAAAAGTGGGGATATGTTTACTATATAAATTTTGCCTTTTTTGGAATCTGGAGTTTCCCAAAGAAGAACTTTTTTCTTTACTAAGTAAACTTCTTTTCAAGCTTTAAGTAAAGTTGTAGAGGAATTTCTTGCGATCAAAATGGCGGTTAAAACGTTAAAATTGGTCCAGTGGATCGCGAGATATAAGTACTTTAGTCTTCGTGACTATATGTTTTCTTCTTTATAAATAAAAGAAGAAAACATATAGTCGCGAAGACTAAAGTACTTATATCTCGCGATACACTGGGCCGATTTTAACATTTTAACCGCCATTTTGATCGCAAGAAACTCCTCTACAACTTTACTTAAAGCTTGAAAGGATGTTTACTTAGTAAAGAAAAAGTTTTTCTTTGGGAAACTCTAGATTCCAAAAAAGTCAAAATTAAAAAGTAAATTTCTCCACAATTTACTAATTAATTTCACTGGTTCTTATGCGGAACACGAATTAAATTAAATTACTCAAACACATAGCAGATAGATACTTTATTCAGACCTATTTAGTAAACGACTATAATAAATTTTATTCATATTATTTGCTTGCAACTAAATTAAGTTGTCAACAACATAAAAACTTTCTTTTCTTTTCTTTCTAGATTAATTCGCTATATCTACTCGAAAACGTATGATATACAGTATTAAAATATAGCTAAAAATTGCTATCTACATCCTCAGTTTTTGCAAGACTGCGTCGTACAGCTACCTTTTAAACTGTATTAGCTGCAGCAAATAGAAATTTTAAAATAGCTTTGTAGATAGTATGAGGCTAATTAATGAACATGAATAAAGTGTTCCTTATTGAAAATATAGAGATTCCTGAAACCATAAATAAAGCGGTGTTAAATGCAAAGTAATTTCAAATCTATTAAAATATTCTTCATTAAGTCGCAATTTAAATAAATTGAAGGTGAATAAATAAAAAAATATATAGTAATGAATTACTAGTGCATAAGCGTCTGATTATCGTTAATTTTGTTGGTCGCATCTCTGGATATAAATTTTTTTTTAATGTATTAAAAAAAAAAAGTTTTCGAAAATAAAGATTACTTTTCTATAATTTTAAAATTTTACATTATAAAAATTTATAAACGGCACTTGTGTAAAGGCTCGGTACTAATTTTTCATGATCAAGTTAATATTTATGCAAGAGATTTTTTTCGAAATGGTTATATTTATCAAATTTAGTTACGGGTATTGTTAGATCCTTAATTGCAAGTGAATTAACCGTATTTTATTATTTTATTTGCCAAAAGATTGTCAATCTTCAAGAATTTTGTAAAGTAAATACGTGAATTGAAATACTTGATGATAATATCTATGGCATAAATGAAATTATGACACTGTTGGCGATAGGAGAAAGCTCTCATGCTGATTAGTGTTATAGGTCATGTATTTGAGCAAAAAAAGGCATAGTCACTGCAGAAGCTGGAAATTTTTAAATATTTTAATATGGAATTTTCAAATTTTTTTGTGTTTCTTTACACAGTCAACTACTGTATATATAACGAAATCTGGGCTGAATAAAATCTCCGTTATATGGCATTTACCATTACAAATTATTTATATATTAAAAATTCGGTTCTTTGCAATTTGTCCGTTAAACCGGTGAATTTGGTCTAAGGGTGTCGTTATATCGATAGTTGACTATTAGTTTTTATAATAAAAGTGTATAAGTGAAGATTTATTTAAAGAACTTTGTGCTTACAAGCATAAAAAAAAGCATTATATTCAACCATACAAAAAAGAAAAAGAAACCCCGTTAAAATGGTGGCTTAATATAGATGAACCATCCGAACTCACCATTAAGAAATTTTCTGTGAAAGAAATTTCTAGACCCTTAAATGGCCACAAAGAATAATGCCTAATATATTTCGGTTAGAAGCAATAGCTAATATTCGAGCTTTTTTTATAATAAGTATACAATATTGGGCAAAAATTGTCGAATAACGGTAATTTGGCAAATGAGCACGTGCCGCAAAGCGGCACGTGTAGCCAATCATTTGTCGAATTACCGTATTCGACAATTTGCCCAATATTGGTGTTATCCGGCAATTTATGATCATGATTGGTAGGGAGTCGCTCGCTGAGTTTTATTTTTTGAATATTGGAATAACATAAATATATCGTAACACATGAAAAAAATAACAAGAAGAAATTTTTTCATGATCATATTAGTTTGCCGGATAATAAGATATTATTACCATCGTGAAATAACGTGCGGGGTGAAATTACAAATTCGGCCTAAATTAAGCTTAATTCGGCCAAACCTCTAAATAACACTCATGTTCCGACAATACGGTACCCATTTTTAAATGGAAGATCTTTTTCAGTTTTTAATTTTTTATGCTTATTATTAGAAAAAGAAAGACTCAATGTGTCATAAATATTATAATACAAACATGTGTTAAATTGTAAAGCAGTAGGGTTACTATAGAGACGAAAGTTGTTTTTGTATTTTTTTCTTATATAATGTGTAAAATGTAGTATGTAGATCTTATAGTAGAATATGTTACACAAAAATTTAAGGGAATTTCCACTGATCGCTAGTATAACCAAGATTGTAAATATTATAATCTGACTGATCAATAAGAATAATATACTATAACACAGCTAGAATTTTTAAATATTTTGCATCTAGAGAGAATTGAACTCTTGTTTGCCATCTAAGATTCCAATTTGGTTGATCTATAGTTTAGATGGGCAATATAGAATTATTATAAGATTATTAATATATAAAAATAACTACTTGACTAATTTAAGCAAATTTATAATAGTTAAGATTAGGGTGAGGGTTATAGTTTAAATTAAGGTTAGGTTAATATTAAAAGGGAAATTCTATTTTCACCCGGGTCAAAGTCACCCGATATATAATTGTCATTATATTATATAATATAAGCTACTATAAAAACTAAAGATTCTATATATTGGTTAGTTAATTGTTAGTATAGACTAATTTTAATAATATTATATGGATTTATATTATATAATACAGTATACATAATAAAAATTAAACATCGGGTAACTTTAACCCGGGTGAAAATAGAATTTCCCAATGTTAAAATTGGATTTTTATATATTATAATCTTATATATTCCTATATTGCCCACCAATATTTATACATATTGGCAAAACTAAAAATTCTTAAAATCCCTCCCAAATCCCAAATATAATAAAATTGTCCCAAATTCCAAATCCCATCTCAAATATAATAAAATTTGTCCAAATCCAAATAGTTTTGCAGCAAGTATATCTATACAAATTAGTTATATTTTATAATGGTTCAATTTTATAGTAGTTTAGTTTTTATAGGTTTTGATTTTAAATTAACATCCCTAAATTTGTAGATCAGAGATGAGTTTAACTCCAATGATCTTCAAGTTTGACCAGAATTAAATTGGTTAGATCGGTCGAAATCAGTCCATACGAAATTTTGGAATTTTTCAAAATTCTAGCAAGATTTCTCTATAACTACTTGATTAATTAGCAAATTTTTTTATTTTAAATTCTAAACTTTTGTAGAATTAAAATAAAAAAAATTTTATCGAGATGGTTGTTGAGAATCTTCGAATCTTTTTTTTTTAACTTTAAGCGAAGATTTTTCAACAAACATTGATTCAAATTCGATGAAATTTTTTTATTTTAATTCTGTAAGTTTATAGAATTAAAATAAAAAAATTTATTGGAATTTGGTAGATTTTGCAAACCGTGATTATTTATTATTATCGTATTCTTGCAATTCATTTCAAAAAAATTGCTCGATTGTTAGATAAAGTATGTCTGTCTTTTACCGCCTTATAATAAAAATACCTTAGCTGTTGCGTCAATTTTGCCACGGCAGATTCTCAATTTTAATTAGCTAACTGCCGTGGTCTACGAAAATTTGGCCCGCTTTATACAATTATTACAAAATTTTTGGCCGGAATTGAGTTTTTAACTTTTTATTACAAAAATATAAATTTTTAGGGAAATAAGCCTATACTATGGTAAAATTA